GGGCGGGGGGAGCCGGGGGGGGGGGGGGCGTCCTTTGGGCTGGGTGCAGCAGGGAGATGCTGTGGGGATGGGCAGGAGTGACTGGGCAGGGAGGGGACCGATGGCACGCACAAGGGGACCAAGGGGCCGTGGTGGGGCTGGGTGTGGGGCAAGGTGATCCCTTGAGGGGGGGCCTGGGCCCTGCTGGGGTGGAGAGAGTAGCTGGGAGGCACAGGGGGATGGGGAGGGGTGCACTGGGAAGATGCAGAAGGAAAAGCTGGGATGCACCAGAGGATGCAAAGGGGCCAGTGGGGACTGCTGCAGAGCTGGCTGGGATGCACTGGGGATGCAAAGGGACAGTGGGGATGCATGGAGGGAAGCAGGGATGCACTGGGGATGGCACAGATAGGACCAGTCGCATTGGGGGATGCAGCAGAGACAGTGGGGCTGCACTGGGGTGATGGTGCAGAGATGGTGGGCAGGTACAGACTGGGGTGGGGAAAATGCACCGGTAGTGGTAGAGATGCACTGGCTGGGGCAATGCACTGGAAATGGGGAGATGCACGGGGCGGGGTGGTGCAGCACAGGCAACAGGGATGCACTGGTGTTAGAAAATGCACTAGAGACAGCAGGGATGCAACAATGATGGCGGGGCTGCACTGGGGGGGTGCAGCAGAGACAGCGGGGATGCACCGGCACAGAGCAGCGGACACAGCGTTGACGCGCTGGGGGACACAGCAGAGACGGCGGAGGATATATCAAGGGATGCAGACGGGACAGCATGGATGCACTGAGCGATGCAAGGGAGTTTGGCAGGGCTGCAGCATCGGGGCTGCAGCGGGGGCTGCAGAGGAGTCAAGGGGGCTGCAGCAGGGGATGTGCTGTGGGGAACCGCGGGGATGTGCCCAGGCAGCCCCAGGCAGGGGCAGGCAGCGCCAGCCCTGCGCCCACCTTTGGGCGTTGCCGGCGTCTCGTTGCCCGACGCGCGGGTGCCCGGCTCGCCCGGCGGCGTGGCGGCCGGGCTGGACTCGCAGGGGCTGCAGCCCGCTGCCGAGGCCTTGCGGTAGGCGTCCGACTGGCTGCCTGCGGACAAGGGAGATGGGGTGGCATGGGGGGGGGGCTGCCCACATCGGGGAGGGACCAGCACCCCAGCACTGCCCCTGCTCCTGTGCCACGCCAACCCGGCCAGGAGTTGTCAAATGTACATCACCATGTACCTGCCACTGCGTCATCCCCTCCTGCGGTGGCGGGGCAGGGGCACCCATGGGTGCAGCAACCACCATGCCCCTCTCCGGGCATCCCCGCTAGCCCCATGCAGCCGCAGCCCCCGCATCTGCCAGGTAGGGGGACAAGCAGCCCCATACCTGCTGCAGTGCACGCTGGCTCTGCCCACACACAGCCCAGCTGGGCCCTGGCACAGCCTCACCTCTGCAGGCACAGCTCTGTGCCCTGCTACCCCTCGCTAGGGGGGCACAGCCCCACATGGCTCCAGGCACCATCTGGCCCCTTCTGCCCCATGGGCACAGCCCCACACAATCCTGGGCACAGCCTTTCCCATCCCGCGCTGCCCCACGGGCAAAATCCTGCGTGGTCCAGGGCGCAGCCTGCCCTGTCCCCTTCTGCCCCACGGGCACAGCCTGCCCCATCCACCTCTGCCCCATGAGCAGAGCCTGTCCTGGGCCCCCTCTATCCCATGGGCACAGCCTGCTCCATCCCATGGCAGAGCATCATCTCCCCGGGCACAGCTCAGCCCTGTCCCCATCTGTCCCATGGGCACAGCCTACCCGGTGCCCCCTCCCCGGTACCACGGGCACAACCTGCCTCATGGGCACAGCCTGCTGCATCCCCCCACCCCAGGGGCACAGCGCCCACCGTGGGGCCAGCCCCAGCCGAGGCATGCAGGGTGCCCGTGGGTGCGGGCGCAGCCCCCGCCTGGGTGCCCGGCCCCCTCTGGGTGCCCACGGGAGGGGCGCTGCCTCCGCTGTCGGTCCGGTGTGCCATGGGGCTGGGGTGGGCTGTGGGGCAGCCGCCCGTGGCTTGGCCCCCAGGAGCTGCACACCCGGGGGATCCCAGCTACCTACATGGGAAGAAAGAGGAGAGATTTGGGGTGCGGTGGCAGGTGATATAGGGGAAGGGGGTCCGTGGGGGGGAGGAGGAGGAGGAGGAGGAAGAAGGCGGCCCACTGTCAGCTGTCTTTATGAAAGGACAGTGCAGACGACCTGCCGAGAGAAAGACAGACAGACGGACGGACGGAGAGAGAGAGAGAGCAAAGAGATGGGTCAGTCCCTGCTCAGCGCAGCTGTGGCGGGGCTGGGGCACCAGGGCACCAGGACGGGAGGACGGCGGGATGGGAGGCAGCACTGACAGTGGGGTGGGAGGATGGCAGGACAAGAGGATGGAAAGACAGCAGGACAGAAGGATGGGAGGCAGTGCTGCATGGCCAGGTGGGGAGAGAGGCCAGGACATGGCCATGGGACAACTATCTGCTCAGGCACAGCACAGCCCCACAGCATGAACCCACGGCACGGCCACAACACAGCCCACAGCACAACCCATGGCACAGCCCCACAGCATTGCCCTGAGGCACAACCCCACAGCACAGCCCCACGGCACAGCCCATGGCATGACCCATGGCATGACCCCACAGCAAGAACAACACAACACAGGCCCTCCCCAGCACAGCCCCATGGCACAGCCCCTCCAGCACAGCACCCCAGCACGACCCCCAGCGCAGCTCCACGACATGGCCCCACGGACGGAGGCGCCCACCAAGACAGCTAGCCTCTGCCCTAGAGCCGCAAAAAAGAGTCCCAGGGCTGGACCCTAGACTGTAGGGCAGCCCAGCCTCCTCATAGGGCACTCCCTGCCAGCCGGGAGCACGCTGGGTGCCCCACGCCTGCCTCTTTTAGCTGCCCCCATGGGATGAGCTGCCTTCCCAAGCCACCCCCAGACCTCCAGCTGCCCACCCCTGCCGCACCGACCACGCTGCCACCCTGGCTGCCAGCGTGATGCTGTGACAGGTGAGCAGATGACACCCAGCAGGGAGCAGGATGAGCCCCCCCTTGCCAAAGACACCCTGGCATCCAGCCCCTGCCAAGCTGCCCCAGCTGCAGGGGCGGCGTGAGGTGCGGTGGCAGTGGCGGTGATGGTGGCGCAGCAGAGCAGGACGACCCCCTGCTGTCCTCATGCCCCCGGCACCCCCAACCACAGTGCCAGGGACGGTAGAGGGGCCCCCCCCCCCATTACAGCCCTGCTCCCCCCAGATCCCACTGTGACCCGCCGAGCTGCGGGGAGCCCCGGCGGCACCGCACTCACCTGCTCCGCAGCCCGCAGTCCCCCCTGGCCTCTCCATGCCCCCCCAGTGCCCACAGCCCCCCCCAGCCCCTCACCTGTCCTGTGGCTGCCCGGTGAGACGGTGTCACTGCTGCCCGATGCCACCCGCTCCTGCTGCTTGAAGAAGTCCCGGGGGTTGTCGGGCCGCTGAGCGATGATGGCAGCAGCCTCCTGCGGGGATGGGGGAGGCTGAGACCCACTGCCCCAGTGGTGTGGGGCTGAGAGACCACCCCCCAGCTGGGTTCCCATCGAGATCGCTGGCTGGGGAGTGAGGACAGGCACTGGGCATGGCCGCCACCGCACTCACCTCCACCTCTGACTCTGATTTCCTGAGCTGCTGCCTGTCGTCTTCCTCTTGCTGCTCCCCCTACAAAGAGACGTGGCATGACCCCCTAGCCCCGGGATGCCCAGGAGACCCAGCTGAGAAAAGCTCTTCCTCGGGGGTGACACCAGGCAGCAGCTTCGGCTCGAACCCCGGCCCCACGCCTGCCGCAGCACTTACGAAGATGGACTGCTCCTTCAGGCGCTGCCGGGCCTCCTCTGCCTCCATGCTCTGCTGCTTCCGCCTGCGATGGGGGCACAGGAGAGGGGCTGGGCACCAGCTCCTGCCAGTCCCTGCCCCAACCCCATCCCATGAACCAACACCCATGCACCCCCCCAGACGCTCGCAGCATGTGCGCAGCCATCCTGCACATGCACATCCTTGCACGCGAGCCCGACCCCAGACCCTGCCGTGCCTGTGCTCCTCGATCTGCTCCTCGCGCTCCCGGTAGCGCCGCTCCCGCTCCTCCTGCTCCAGCCGTTCCTGCTCCATCCGCTCCTGCTCGAACCGCAGCCGGGCGTCCAGGGCCTTTTTCCGCTCCTCCTCCTTACGCAATTCTTCCTCTTTCTGGTGAGAGGGGGATGAAGGACAGGACTGCCCATCACCTGCCAGCGGCTCACCCCGCTCCCCAGGGGCTACCAGCTGCCCCCCCAGCATACCCCACCTTGGCCTGTTCCCAGAACTGCTCCCGGTTGAGCCGCTTCATCTCCACGGTGGCGTCGGTTTTCTGGTAAGTGGTGCCCTGGGACGGAGGAGAGGCGGGGGGGGCGGAGGGGCTGGGATCAGCGAGGGGGAATAACAGTAAGCGGCACACGGGGTGACGGGCTGCGGCAGACAGGAGCCCCAGGCGGGAGGGATGCCCTGCGCCCGCCACCATCGCCGCCGTCGCTGCCATGGGGACATTACCACAGGCTCGGCGTTCTCGTCCTCCCGCAGCCGCAGGCGGTGCAGCACCGGGCTGGAGACGCGGGCCAGCCCGTTGGAGAGCCGCTGCCCAATGGCCCCTGGGTCGATGTCCTCCACACTGCTGGCGTTGACGATGACGTCCACGCCCTGGGCGGGGGGCAAGCAGCCGTCAGGCACCGGCGTGGGTGCCCTGGCGACATCGTCCCCCCGCCCCAGTGTCACCCACCTGGAAGAACTCGGCAATCTTGGCCACGTGGCTGGCACAGGCGCATTTGCGGGCATCCGGCACGTCCTCACCCACCTGTGGCAGCCGGGGAGGGGCTGAGCTGGGGGGGTGCGGCAGGGTGACCCCCACCCCGCTGATCACCACGGGACAGCGGGACTGTGGGGCACCCACACCTCCCCCCCGGCCACCGCAGGCTCCTCCCTTGCACCCAGCCATGCCCCTGCCAACACTGTGGCCCCGGTGGGCACGGCACGCCCCCCCCCCAGCATGGCCCCCCCCACTCACCCAGTTGACGAGGACATATTTGGGGAGCACAGCCTGGGGGTCCTTGACGCTGCAGAAGCCGTACATCACCTTCTGGATCTCAAAGTGGCCGGAGAGCTCCAGCAAACCTCCGCCTGGCACAGCACCGTCAGCCCACGTCCACCCGGCACCAGTATGGGTGCTGGGGAAAACGCTGGCAGAGCCGAGCCAGCTGCAGGGACAGAGGACCTTACCTCCTGACGCTGCCAGCTTCAGGTCATCAGAGCCATCCTCGTACGTGTAGAGGGCCCTGGGGAGACAGCGTGGGAGAGCCATGGCCAGGGGGAGCGTGGGGTGGCCCCTCCACCTCCCCATCCTGCTAACACTGAGGTCGGGGCAGGTCCTGGGGGACCGGCCAGGTGTCCCCAAGCTGCCACACAGCCACCCCCAATCCCTTGCCCATTGCCACCGTGAAGGGCCAGGCTGCCAGGCAGGCAGGACTTCGGGCAGGGCCTATTCCCTGAACCCTGCTGCCTGGCAGCCATGGGGCAGGGTCGCAAGGTTGGGGACAGAAGGGTCACTTGGGCACAGGGACCAGCTGGCTGCTGTGCCGTGCCGCAAGCCGCTGCGGCCTCGCAGCTCCTTGCACGCCCATCTCTGCATCCCCCCGACCCTGCCGGTTACCAACCGGCTTTGGGGACAGCCCCACGCCCCGGCAGGGAACTCGGGGCCGCTCACGTGCCTGGCTGCGTGAGCCACCGGCCCGGCAGGCACCAGGCCGGGGGAGGACGCCGGAGCACCAGCAGCAGCAAATCAATGTGCCGCCAGGGTGTGATGGGGCCGTCATGGAGACTGTTTCTTGGAAACCGTTCCCAGCGGATGGGAAACCCCCTCTCGCTCCCACTGCACCCCAGCCGGCCCCCCCCGGGGCTCCGCGGGGACCCCCACCAGCCCGCACCTTCCCAGGGGCATGCAGCCAGCTACGGCAGGGCGGGGGGGGGAGGACGCATGCCGAATTGGTCCAGGGCAGGTGGGCGAGGGGAGGGATGTTGCTAGGCAACCAGCATCCTCTGTCGCCATGGCAACCCCCCCCCATCCCAGCTGGGATGCAGCTCGCCCCGATGACGAGGTGATTAGTGGAGGAGAGCGGGGGAGGCAGGCAGGCAGCGGGGACCCGTCGGGGCCTGGCAGGCACCCAAACCTGCCTGCCGCCGTCACACGCTGCACCCGGAAAGCCGGGGCCGCCCGTGCTGGACCCCCCCCCATCTCCACACCGGGGCGGGCGGACAGCTCTGCCGATTGGCATTCGGCTAGCAGCACCCATGCGGTGCTTGCTGGAGCACCAAAATCCCCATGGTGCCGGGCAGAGCTGTCCTCACCCAAACTCGCAGCTTCCAGCCAGAGCCTGGGGGATGGTAACTGGGGGGGGGTCCCTACAGGCAGAGCAACCCCCAAACCAGGGCCACGGCTGGACCCTGGGAGCTGAAAAACAAGGGGAAGGCAGGCGGGTGCCTAACAGGGAGAGGGCCTCCCTCCACCCCCCTGCCACCCACCACCCCTGAGCCCCCGGCAGCGAGCCGCAGATAATTACACCAACAAGATTGACTTTAATCCGCACATCCTGATCCTGCTAATCGGCCACTCCAGCCGGCGCCAGCTCCCGGCCTGGAGCCGGCAAAGCAGCTGCAAAGCGCCGTCTGCGACGCCTGTGCCGAGGAAGGGCGGAAAACGCAGTCCCTGCCTGCAACTGCAGCCCTGGCCCCAGGGGGACCTGCTGTTGATCCCCCAGGAATGGGGGAAGGATGGCAGCAGTTTGGGGGAGCCCAGGGCCATGGGCAGGGGCTGGGGGCTCGCAAGGTGGGATGCAGCTGGCTGCAGAGGGGGGGAAACAAATAGGGCAGAGCCACGGCATCGCTGCCTGGGGAGCCCTGCGGGTGCTGGAGGCACCCAGTGCCTGCTCTCCCCCACCCTGGGACCCCGCCATGCAGGGTGGTACCTGAGCACAGTGCTGCTGCCTGCACCCAGGGGTGCTCCCAGGGCAGCAGGGGGCTTGCCGTGGAAACAGAGCCCTGCCCTGAGTGTGGCCCAGCAGCACAGCCTGACCCCACGCTGGGATGGAGGATCCAGAGGTTTCCAGCCCAGGGGCCAGCAGGGCCGGGCTGGGGCCAGCAGCATCCCCAGGGGTGCCCCCAGGGTCCCGCAGCCCAACAGCATCACCATGAGCCCCAGCAGCGAGTACCAGCCATGCCACAGCCGGTGCAGGCAGCATCATGCATTGCTCACCCCCTTCCATGGGCTTTAATCCCTCCACCCAGCCCATACAGCCCCTTCCCACCCACTGGGCTCCAGGCATGTGGGTCACCCATGGGTGGAGGTGACCCATGCAGCAGCCCAGGGACGAGGGCTCCCCGCAGCCGGGGGACTCCAGCAAGGATCCCCCATCACACCGCCAAGGAGACAGAGGCCCCACTGCCCTCGCACGGCCCCATTGCTCACCGAAGCAGGCAGAGCAATGCCTGTGGGTGCCAGCACCTGGGGCACCCGCAGCTGCCTGCCCCCCCCCACCGTGGCCAGGGAGGGGGAGCATCGCCCCAGCCCACCCGCCTCAGCCTGGGCACATGTGTTTCCAATGTGGCTGGGAGCTCCAGGGAGTCGGCGTGCTCAGAAAGCAGCACCAAATTCCTTTCCGATCGAGTAATGGGCCCCAGCAGCCTCCGCGGGGCCGGGCAGGGGGAGGGGACGCTCGGACCCTCCAGGACCAGGCTGGAGCAGGGGGGAATCCCAGACTAAACACAGGGATCCCGGCCGGGCAAGAGCATGGCATCCCTCGGCACCAGCCCAGGCCTGGGCTCCGGCATAATGTCCTCACAGCCTCTGGCTCAGCCAGGTTGGGCCACTGCCGGGCAACAGTCTCCATCACCCTGCCCGATGCAGCCCTCCCAGCATCACCCCTCATCCCCCACCTGGGCGCTGGGGCCTGCAGCAGGGATGCTGCTCCCACTGGCACCGAGTGCCAGGCACGCCTGGTGACCATGGGATGGAGGGGCTGGCGATGATGGGGCGAGCTCAGCCCCATCGGCGGGGATGGTGGGGGCTTGCTGCCCAGCTGGGCCTCAGCCCTGGAGGTGAGGGGGGCCTGGCCCCGGCACTCTCCTTCCCGGGAACCGTTTCTGCTGCTCTCAGCAGCTTTGGCAGGGAGGGCTCCTTTGCAGCGTATGCCGGGAAGCAAGATGTACCCAGGGCTGACAGCTGCCTCCTGGCCAGCAACATGCACCGTGCTCACCCACAGCACCCTTGGGCTGGCGACAGGACCGCGGGGCTCCCCAGAGAACTGGGGCTGGTGGGGAGCGGGACCTGCCCAGGCCCACACAGCTCGGGGGGCTCCCAGCCCTGTCCTGAATGCAGGAACCCGGCTGGAGAGCAGTGTGCACCCCAACTGTGTGCTGGATGCCCCCCAGCTGGGTGGTGGGTGCACCCTAGCTGCGTGGTGGGTGCATGGTAGGCACCCCTGCCAGAGAGCAGCATGCACAGCATGCACCCAGCGCCCAACACTGCCCAGCACCCCGGCTCTGCCCAGCGAGCTGCACCCCAGGGTGCTGGCAGCATCCCCCACCCCCACCCCATGCCATGGCACAGACACCCTGGGGGGCAAGGAGGGGGTCCCGGGGCAGATGGCCCCAGCCGGCCCCACTGCACCCGGGTGGGGCTGGGAGATGCGGGTGGGCGCTGGGAGAATCGGGGCGGCGTGGGGAGATGCTCCCTGCGGGCTGCTGTGCCGGCAGCAGCGGGGCCTGGATCCGGCCGGGCCCCGGCGCCCGCAGCACGGGGTGCCCCGCACTGGGGGTACAGGCAGGGCAGGGCAGGCCGAGGGGAGGGGGGGGGTGTCCCGCCGGGGAAGGCCACCCCCCGCC